TGGAGACACCATGAGTATTTCACTTGCTGAAGTTCCTGAATAGTCATTTAGATCATCAGACAAACCATTCCTTCTCTCCAAAACCTCCTGTAAGGCAGAATGCAAGAAATTTCCATTATTAATATCCAAAAGCTGGGGTTCGGCATTTTTTCAAAAAGCCTCAATATGTGGGTGCTTTGCTAGATTAGTTGAGGGGCTCAAGTCTCTAATATATTTCTTCTTCTTTCCCATTGAGGAGTAGCTAGGAAAAGGGAGTTAATTAGCAGATAAACTCAAATACTGCTGTCTCCTTTGTTAAAAGGACTTGCCCATCAAGATATTCAATGGGAGTAACTTCAAAAAGCAAGTCTTCTCACAACAGCAAAAGCAAATGCACTTACAGTTCACTAACTGTTAACAGGAGAACAAAGGCAGAAAAAGCCGACAGAAGGCAATCCAAGGGAATTAAAACAGAACTACTCCGCATCCATGGCAGCCCGGTGCCATTTTAGCCATTCCAATTTGGATTTTGGCGGTCAATCCTGAAGTGGATTGTACTGTGGCTATTTTCTTACGGTGTATTTTGGGTATACCAAATATGATTAGACTTTCTACTGTTTCTAGCAAACTTGGCCTCCACCTGCCATCAACTATTGCCTGGATGATTACTATTAAATACCGGCTGCGTTTTCAATTCTGGGCTTGTCCTAACACTATGTTATACAATTTGTTAAGGAACTGTTATCTCTCTAAATAGTATCAACATATCAGGACTAAAATTGATTCTATTGGCATCAACTTAGAGTCCCTAAGTAACTGCGATGAGAACCAATTATTTTGCATTATCTGTCAGAATTTGGGATACAGAGAGTCAGACCATTGCTGTGGGAACTAACATGGCTTACTCTCCTTGTTTTCATGGCCTGCTGTCCATCCCAGGGATAGGAGCTGCTTACATGCAAAATCTTACTAATCCTCAACAGTGTTGGGCATTTATACTCGCTAGACTGAATATTTCCCCTTCAGCTGTTCTTTCAGGTAGATATCATAATATACCTTTTAAGAACAGACTATGTAAATACTGTTTACTGGAACCTGACTCAATTTCCTATATTTTACTTCACTGTCCCACGCATTGTAAGGTTCGTCAACAGCTCCTTGATCCTGTTATTTCCAACCTCTCTGGTTCCCCAGAGAGAATTATTCAGTATTTACTTGCTGATACCCCCTCATGGATCACTGCCTTGTCGTGGCGAGGGGGCTTGCGTGGTTCGATGAAGCTGTGGGCTATGCTGTGGAGGGCCATCCAAGACGGACAGGCACAGCAGAGAACTCAGACCAAGCGTGATCCCCTGGAGAAGGGAATGGAAACCCACTCCAGTATTTTTGCCAAGAAAATCCCATGGACAGTATCAAAAGGCTAAAAGATATGACGCCAGAAGATGAGCCCCTCAGGTCGGAAGGTGTCCAATATGCTACTGAGGAAGAGCAGAGGGCAAGTACAAGTAACCCCAGAAAGAGTGAAGAGGCTGGGCCAAAGCCAAAAGAATGCGCAGTTGTGGATGTGTCTGATGGTGAAAGGAAAGTACGATGCTGCAAAGAACAATACTGCATAGGAACCTGGAATGTAAGATCTATGAATCAAGGTAAGCTTGACGTGTTCAAAAATGAGATGGCAAGACTGAACATCAATATCTTAGGAATCAGTGAACTAAAGTGGACAGGAATGGGCGAATTTAACTCAGAAGACCATTATATCTACTACTGTGGCCAGGAATCTCGTAGATAAAATGGTGTGGCCTTTATAGTCAACAAGAGAGTGCAAAAGTCAGTACTGGGATACAATCTCAAAAATGCCTCCCTGATCCTTCCAGCCCCCCCCCCCGACCCACCCGCAATGGCATCAGGGAACCTCTACAATCCTGTCCCCATGTGGAAAACACTGATATCTCTGTACAAAATGCAAAGCAAAGTCATTCTGGCAAAAGTGAGTCTGTTTTGCCTGTGCAAGGCCAATTTGGATTCTGGAAAATGGATTTTTTTAAAGCAATTTTTTAGTAATTGCATCTGAAGTCATTAGATTCCAGAGACTGCATGACGTTTACTCTACCTAAGTGGCACCTACTACGAGCAAACTAAAAAGGACATATACATTTTTTCCCAAACAGGGTAGTTTGCTTTTATTTGCTTTTTTTGTCTTGCTTTGAGCAGTTAATAAACCCCAAATATAGAACAGCAATATAAAATTCATAGAGTAACATAATTTTTATTTTCTGTGCTTTGTTACAATTCCATGCAGATATCTTTGGAATCAGGTAAATAATGATGCTCACACACAGAGACACAGACACACACTCACTTTTTCTTGAAGACAACATTTGCAACAATCTTATAATATATACAATAATACTGTAGTGATACACTACTCAATCCAAAGAAGCTATGTGTTCAAACATCTACTGAGCTGTTTGGTAGTAGAAACTGATTCAGTTAGCAGGAAAAAACAAACAAGGCTATTGTGGTTTATCATTTCTCTTTCACACACTCCTACAGTCCACTCACTGCCTCCATATACTTTCCTTAGACTCGCACCTGTGTATGTGATATGTCATTAGGGGTAGGCATACAAAAAAATTGATATTTTTCAGGTTCGGGTATATTGAACCCCCCAAAAATCTGTATTTCCTGGTATTCCTGAATCTCAATATTGGTATAGTATTGGGATTTAGGAAATATTCGGGATTGCCAATTTTTCCCGTTCCATTATACCCTATGGGGACCATTATAGTCAATGGTTCCCATAGGCTATAATGGAGAATCAATCTGGAGGTATCTTGGCCTCTGCTATTTATTTATTTATATTGGATTTATATCCTGCCCTCCCCACCGAAGCAGCCTCAGGGTGGCTAACATAAATTTTTAAACAGTTTAAAAATACATAAAGCCTAAAATGCAAGGGGCACCAAATTGTAGCATAGCTGTTGGTGCCTCTCCTCAACGTCCCCCAAGTTTGAAAAAGACTAGACCAAGGGGTTCAATTCTATGAGCCCCAGAAGAAGTTGCCCCCATCCTCCACTGTTTCCAATGGAGGGAGAGAAAGACGTTTAAAGGGATGTGGTCCCTTTACATGCCTTTTTTGTGGCACAGTGCGATTCTGTGCCACATGAACTCCAAAGGCATTTAAAGGGCCTGTAGACCATTTAAATGCCTGAGAGTTTATTCAGAAGGCATTTAAATGGATTGAGAGCCCTTTAAATGCCCTGTAATTGCAACTATCTGACAGCCCCCCAAAATCCCATTTTTGGATAGTCAAATCACAAGCCCCCTCGGTGATACCTGATAAATACTGATAAGGTATTTATTGTGTATTTTCCCAACTCAGTTTATATCAAGCATGCTCCTCTGTATGTCATATAAGTGAGATGAAGTAACTTAGTTGAAGGGGGCAGCTCAGTGATTATGAAATTCCACCTTTGCCTTCTAACTAAGAGCTGCATCAGCAAAGGTGGTTTCAAATGTATTGCTGCAGGGAAGGTCAAACATGTATGAGCAAATGAATGACAAGCAGGCAGGGATGAGGGTGCTAATTAGAATAAAGTTTATTGTATGTGGCCATTGGCCATCACAATTCCATATAAAACTGGATCCCTAATATATTAAAATACACATGAGGGTGCTACTAGGGAAATTTGTGTATATGCAGGTTTTTTTCCAGGGGGAACGTGCCAGAATGGAGTTCCAGAACCTCTTTGACAAAATTCTTTTAAAAATGTTTAGAAGTTCATGAGGTTTCAGTATTCAGATTGAAAACTTCATTTCCCTCTTGAGAGTTCTGATACCCCTTTTTCAAAAGAAGAAGCGGCGGCGGCGGCAGCCCTGCATACATGTATTGAGTTACTCTATGGAACAATTTAAATTAACAAAGCATTACATTAACAAAGCATCCTCATATGCTCCAAATGACTTTTTTAAACTCAGGGACAGTCCCTATTTTGTCCCTCCTATTTTAGGCATAGAACTAGCACCTATGTTTTCCTTCTGGGGATGCCTTAGCAGATTTTTGCTAGTGTGAGATGCTGAAGTTAATAATCTTAATTGCTCAACCCCTGCTTCCAACCTATCTAGCTGATAAATCCTTGCATGGGGGGAAATACACACACACACACACACACATATGTGAACTCACAGATTAACAAAAGCACCATATAGTGCACACCCTGACAATTCACACAGTGCAGTTGCTGATATCGATTTTTAACAGTAGATAACAGACTGTAAGGCTATTATATTTTCCATTGTATGTTTAATTCAAAGAACAAACACTTCCCTTTCTTGTAAATCAATGCAGGCAGATTATCACAAATTAAATTATTCTAACAGAGGCAACAGTGCTTTCCAAGAGGTATATAACAGAGTGGTGCAAGGTTGTGGCCAGTGACCTTATGAGCATTTCAAGTGTGTTCCCATTTTTATCTGTGAGATGCTCAGCAATAGGCATCCTCATTAGGAAGCCTTCATTCTGGGTTCAAATTTCAAGGACGGGGAGGGGAGCCGGTATAATGTAGTGGCTAGAATGTCATGATAGTAGTGGAAAGACCTAGATGAAAATCTCCTCGGAGCCATGAAGCTCACTGGGTGAATTTACGCCAGGTACTCTGTCAGTGTAACCTACCTCACAAAAGTAAAATTTGGTTAAGATGGAAATGCTTTTGTACCATGGAAAGTACCAGCAGAAAATCCTATGCATATTAAAAACATGCACCTCTATTTCACAACAAAATGTGAAAGACATTTTCCCCTCCTTGAAAATGTTGATTATTTATGTATGTTACAAGAATTAACTAAACCTAAGCTGTTTCAAATTATCCTGTCCCCCGTGCACCCCTCCTTCCCCTGAGCATGCTTTAGATCATCTGCAGTCAACACACACAGGTTTGCAAGCAAGGAGGAGGGTGGTTAGCATAATCAAAAATTCAGGGCAAAGGTGTTGGACCTCAGTGAATTTTATTAACAATACTTACATTTTCTGTTGTTCCAGTAATTACATGGAGACCATCATATGTTGATTTAATGTACATACCCTAAGAAAAAGACATCATGGAAGAATTTGTAAAGTTTTTGCAAACTACTGCCATCCAATATACACTTCTCAGCTACCTAAAAATCTCCCTTCTTTTAAAAATTATTTGGGTGATACATTGAAATATGCCACTAGAATACCACTCTGAATTTTTAAATGTTTTTAATCAGAATAAAAAATTCAGAGCTATCACATCTGTTACTTTCAATTGCTGTGGCAGCTGTCTCCAGATACATCCCCTTCATATGCAGCGGCTGCTCACTGTGTTTGGACTTTATTTGCGGCACTGAAAATTTCTCAGAAGAAAGGTGTTTGGGAATAGGAAAAATATTCCTTATCTATAGAGAGAAATTAATGTGACCAATGTCTCTGTGGAGCTATTTAAAATGCCTTCTATATGTCAACAGTTTTATGTGCATGGGCTTTTATAATATGTATATAACAAAAGAGCTCATCTCAAAAAACTTTTATCAATGATACTCCAATACATAATCTAAACAGTAAACACAATCCACTTGAAACAATCAAATCGAGAGTTGCATTGAATTAAGGCACGCATGTTTCTCAACTATATCAAACATACTGAACTACAAATTCTTAGCTCCAAGTGCGTGATTTAAGATGACACCCTAGTTCCACAACTTTAAGAATGCAAAATCTTCACAAAAGCCATTATAACCTAACCAAGTTCTATAATATGTATGATACAACTACTAAATATCCTATCAAATACCATACATATAAAATCTCACTTTAATATAGGCATAGAGAAAAAGAAAGGACAATTACACTGTGGAAAACTATAAATATCACCGGCAACACACAGCAAGACTTAAAATTTTTAAGTTTCCTACTTGCTGACTAGAGAAAACCGTTTATAATATACTGGTTTTCAATCAATGGAAGAACCCTCAAGTGGACTGCAGAATCCCTCTTGCCGAAAGCCTCTAGAACTGCCTTTGTTTTTGGCTGCCTTTCAGAAGGTCCTGCTGCACAATGAGAAAGGGTACTATGCTTTCCACCTTTCTTTCCATGCATGGATAAAGGAATGACAGAACAATGAGATATGGTCACTCAAAGGTAAAGAGTCACGCTGACTCTTGGCTTGCTCCTCACTGTGGTATATCTGGTACATGCCTTCAGTTCCCTGTACTCAGCTCTGTTGGCCTGCAGCCCGTGATCCTGACCTTGACACAGGTGAGGTAATAACCATGGTTCCCCTTCTTTCTACAATGTGACTGTAATAATTTATAATAATAAATAAATAGCTCAGTGTTTTATGCTTAGTAGTTCCCAGGGTGAAGACTAGTATTCTAATACAGAAAACACTGATTATTTTACATACAGAAGTGTAAACAATTGAACTGACGACCATGGACAAAATGTGTATACATTCAGTTTGCCCCCTGTGTTGAAGTTTAATTAATGAATTGCACAAATAAATTATGCTTAACTTGTATAGGACTTGAAGTCCAAGGTTGCTATGGAGAAGCAGGCAATGGCAAACCACCTCTGTTTGTTTCTTGTCTTGAAAACCCTACAGGGTCACCATAAGTCAGCTGCAACTTGACAGCACTTCACACACACACACACACACACACACAAACACACAAATTATATTACCTTTAAAGATATGCATAGTTTATTTTTCAACTGACTTTGTAAGCACCTGAGCTGCAATTTTATGACAGCCTCTGTGAATACCTGCATGTTCAGTACAACCAATTGAAAAAAACCTGTCTTCTCAAATGATGTCATCCCATCCCATAATGTTCAGATAAGGAGCCAGATCCTTACCAGGAATGACTATTCTTTAACTACAATTCTCTTTCAAATTATATCACACCAAATGTAGTCTTTCTCCAAGCACTCAAAATGGCTATTAAAGCAGATTATACTTAGTCCTCACCCTTTCAGAAATTTGACATTACCTAGCTATATAATGGACCGTGATGGCTCAGAGGTTAAGACGCTGAGTTGCAGACCAGAAGGTCTGTAGCTCGGCAGTTTGAGACCCTAGTGCTGCGTGACGGAGTAAGCACTAGTATGCTTAATAAGAAAATGGCAAACAAGGAAAATATAGTGTCAGATGTAGTATACATACTAGAACTTTTACTGATTTCATAGTAGAAACAGTCTTTTCCACATAATGAGAATAGGTCTATTGCTGGTACTGAAATCTTTCTAAAATCAGGTCAAACAGTACAAGACTTGAAATGAGAAAAGCAAGGTGTTTGTCTGTGGCAACAGTTTGCTGAAGTAGAGCAAACTACCACATATATTATTTTTAAAGAGGAGGGAGAAGGAAATAGTAATTGTTTTGACCCAGCTATTAAACTCCAGAAAATGCCTCTTCCAGCTATTTTCAGCTGATGACACTTGTTCATCTTGTCCTTTTTGTTCCATTTTCTCTTCAAGTCACTGCACATTGACTGACTTCTGGTGGCTTGAGCGGAGGTAAAAAGGCCATGGTAACCTACATGGAAGGCTGCAGTGGCTAAGAGGTTAAGATGCTGAGCTGCAGACCAGAACGTCTGTAGTTCGGCAGTTTGAGACCCTAGTGCTGTGTGACAGAGTGAGCTCCAGTCTCTGGACCCAGCTCCTGCCAACCTAGCACTTCAATAGTAAGAAATTGCAACTAGATAAATAGGTACTGCTTTGGGGGAAGGTTAACAGCGTTCTGTGCACCTTGGTGTTTATTCATGGCAGCCACATGACCACAGAAACATCTTTGGACAGCGCTAGCTCTTTGGCTTAGAAGTGGAGATGAGCACCATCCCCTAGAGTTGGATTCAACTAGCTTTTGAGCAAGGGAAACCTTTACCTTTTAGTCTATATGGAGTTTTAAACAAGTGAGCAGTGACTCACAAAAGCTCATATCCTACCACAAATTTTGTTAGTCTTTAAGGTGCTACTGGACTCTTTCTCTTTTCTACTTCTTTGGAGTTATAAAGTTTGTGTTTTGGACATGAGGTATAACAAAGATATATCCAAATAGATCAGTAAAAAAACATTATCCCTTTGATGTTACCAACATTTTAAACAATAAATAGCTGCCATCTTTGCACACTACAGAAGAATATTTCTTGTTTTACCCAAGTTATAAAACCCAAACAGACAACAAAACACTTGTTAGAATTAGAGGACTAGCTGCTACTGACTGTTCTCTGAAACAGTGCACATAGAAAAGGCAAATATAGAACGCAACACAGTAATATCTGAAAATCAACACAATTGAATATAATACAGGTATTAATGTTGGAAGTAATGACATGAAATGCATATTGATTTTCAGGTAAATGACATGAATGTAAATGTTCTCCCACTGTGATATTTTATTTCACATTTATTGCATTGTTACAAAAGTAAATATCCAAAATAAAAACTATCAAACAAGGTCAGAGAAGGGACCCATTCTCTTCAGAAGAAGTGCATGGGAGGAAAAATGACCTGTGGAAGATACTCAGTTAAATTTGTGTATTTATAGAAAAGAGCAGAAGAAGAGACAGAATCGTAAAATAGATTAAATTTATTCCACAAATATGTCATACTCTTAATAATGTTACAGAATCACATACAATTGTGTGACTATTACCTTGTTTCTAAATGAAAAAATATTTCTTCAAAACTACAAAAGATTATAGTTGTTACTTCCAATTAGGGGATTAATTATATTTGTTGACTTGCATGATGGCGCATGTTCCACATAATACAAACATTGATTTTTAAGGCATATATTTGAGCATGTGGTCTTTGCATAAACTGAAAAAAAGCTATGAAGGTTTTCTTACATACTGGGGGGGGGGGAAACCAATCAGTACAGGAGTAAGTAATGTCAATTCGCAATTTTCGTTAATATCAATCTGCCATAGTCTGAAGCAGTTAATGAAGTTTTAAAAAGCTGAAGAATCAGAAGCCATCTAGATCACCTGTATCTATTATATTTTAAATAATATTTACTAAAAGAACATACAACTTATATGCTTTAGCTAACGGAAGTGGATTTTAATAGATTCTATAGGATCTGTACCAGAATAACTAATTTAGCCACTGTATGAAAGTATAAATACAATTTTATGAATTCCAGTGTTTCTAAACAACATATTCGATAAACAATAAAGCTTCTCAAATTACAGTAACACACATTTGTTATTTGCACTTTTTATACCACAGTGTTAAGTCTTCTAGAAATCCATTAGTAAAGAAGGCATCACATTTACTATTATGAATCCAAATATTTCATTCTGTCTTCAGAAACATTGGGTGGGAAAGAAATCAGTGAATTTATTCCTAATGTGAGGGGACTAAAGTAAAAATTAAACAAAATAATCAATGTTTATGCCACACTTTTTAACACTTCCAAAGAACACCTCAAAATGCTAAGCATAGAATATTTTCAAAAAAATCAAAGATTAAAAATTATATTTGTGACTGTCTACTCAGACTGGCAGCAGCTCTCCAGGGTCTCTGGTAAAGAGGTCTTTTACATCACCTGCTACCTGATCCTTAACTGTAGATGCTGGGGATTGAAACTAGAGTCTTCTGCATGCCAAGTAGAAGCTTAACACTAAGCCACAGCTCCTCCCCAACTACGGACCACATGCTTATTTTTACCCAGATCTACCCTAGGGATTTGATCTTTCACATTTTTTGCAATCTACTTCTAGCCTGAGAACTGTTATGAGGATCTTTTAGATTGCTAGATTTTTTTTAAAAATACTCTAAACTTTTATTGTCTGGCTTTTATACAGTTATGGTTTTACCTAGTTGAGGCAGGTTAAAATATTTAAATTAAATATTTAAATAAATAAGTTAAGTTATACAAACAATAAAAAATAATACATCAACAGTTCATCTACTAACAATAATTACTCTGGTGCTGCAGCAACCAGATATAAAAATGATTTCTATTTTAATATTTGCAGGAACAGAAATTGCTAAGACATAGAAAACCCCCACAAATATATGACAAGATTAGAGGACTTAATGTCGAGAATTGCC